TACACCTACTGGGACAAATTTGTGTGACATGTAATAATCATTACTTCAAAGTTTTGTGATTATCCTTAGAAGTGAAATTCACAAATAAAAATTAAATTAAAATGTTAAAATAGATGAAATGTGGACAATATTCACAGAAGTGCTGTGGGATTTTAATGATTTCTTTAATAAAGTGATATCATTGCTTGAACATTTAGTTATTGATAACAGCAGTACAACTGTCAATATTTTAGTTTGTTTTTGTTTACCTACGTCTCATGAATAATTAATTACAACTACATATTTATGCTTAGTGATGTAATTCAAAACAAACACATGTGAAAACTGTGAGTCTCCAAACTTCATAACAATTTAGCCAAAATGACCACACAATAAATTATAACATGTAATTTCCATGGAAACTGAGTTCAGTGACACATTTTCATTTCAATAATTTTCAAACCTGATTGTAAAAGGAATACCGGGTAAGTGTCAAAGGCATTTCCGATGATTCTACTACATTAAATTTGCTTTAGTTGAAAGCTAAGTTTCCAACATTAATCTGGAGCACAAAGCCATAGCAGTATATGCAGTGACAGAAGAATGTACAGAATCACCCAGGGAATAATGCTTTTGGATTGCTTAATCCCACAATGGTTTCCTTTTGATTACTTTTATTCTGTTCGATCACATTGTAAGCCCCATGTCGTTTGCAAAAAAAAAAAAATGTCATGTCTACACCTACTTCAAACTGAAATATTTTTTTGAGAAATAATACATTTACTGGTGCAAATCATTGTAGATTGAATGAAGATGTTTTAACATTTCTTGAAAGCTTTTACTAATTTGTCAGTAAAAAAAAATTCCATGTGTACTATGAATGTCAATAAATGTATTTAATTTTTTTTTCATCTAGTATCTAAACTATTCAGTACACTCTGAAACTCAATTTTGAAAACTAAATTCACCTTTTAGACAGTTTGAATAAACAGTTCTGGGAATTGTTCGCAATTAAAGTACAGGAAATTTAGAATTAAGTAGGACTCAGCAAGTATACACATATAAGTACATGTACACGATAAATCTCTGGTCTACAGAGAAGGCGGCACGTCGAATACCTGATCAGATCTAATAGACAAGAATAGAAGGGATTTTAATCATCTTGGGAACAATGGCTAACATAAGAGAATACAAAATACATGTACTGTACAATATATTATTTTCATTTCAGTATTACCAGTAGATTATTAAAATTAAAATTAAATTTGATTTCTCATTGTTAATATATCGCTGCTGATGCTGTTTTTTTTCCATTCATTTTTGCAATCTATGAGGCTTTCAACTGGCTATGTATTAAGGCTCAATAAAACAAATAAAATATAATGTTTATTATTAATTATTGTGTACTTGGGATTTTTTTCTTTATTTTAATTTTCCTAATGAGCAATTCCTTTCTTGATTTGCTGCAAAAACATAATCATGGTTTAACCACATAGAAGGAAAGAAAAGGAATACATTACAACATTGGTGATATGAACAAGGTTACATTGCTGAAAAATAATTATGCACTTGTTCCATGTAAATAAATTAACACTTGCAAATGAAATAACGTTTTTTGTTTCCTGTAAAATATTGGTAGTTAGTGTTACCAGAACACAGGGTTTATGTGAATTTGCTTATATGGCACACAGTGACTCTGCAATTGGAATTAGTGATGTTAGCTTGCCTGCTAACACTGGGAGTCACAGCGAGTTTCATTCATTAGTTTGAGAAAGAGAGATGGAGTGATCTTCATTGGATAAGCAGAGCAAAAATTTACTTAAAAGAATCATGAGCACTTTCTACAATATAGTAATAGTATAAACCAATTATTCTTAACTGTCTTTTAGCAGTAAAAATAACTACTATAAACTCAGATTTGTATTAATTACAGTGCCTTTATAAAAGAAAGTTTATTGCTACTTGTGACCCAGATTCAATACATTGAATCTACAAATAACATATGCGAGTTGAATTTCATGCAGTATTTTTGATATCAAGACAAAACCGGAAGACATAATGAACTCATGTATTTTCAGAACTTTAATTCTACCTAAGTTTCACACTAAGATTTTGTCAAATATTACTACCTCACAAAGATTCATGAAAGAACGGTAAAATTCTTTAAATTCACTGGAGCACACAAATCAGATTTTTGGCAAGATATTGACACGATCGCAGCTTTTGTGACCAGCATTGATTAATATAGGATACACTCTGAATGGTGTGACAGATTGCATTATTTGAAAAGCTTAATATTATAGCAGCATTTGCATGCCAGCACGTTCTTTAGAATCAATAACAAGCAATGACAGTTGCATGTGTCAATGTGCAAAATTGACATCTACAGTTTGAACAATCGGGTCCAACAGAACCAAACATACTTTGTTATGTGTGATGGGTCATTTAATAAGACATACTAGTACCTTAAAAATAAGATAAACAATCCAACTGAAGAAGAGTAGATCAACCTGACCAGGTCGTGCCCTCCACTTTTTGGTGACCTCTTTGACACTTTCAAGGCTGGACACTTGGATAAATCGCCACGATGGTTGCAATGGGAATGGTCAGAATTCAATTGGAACGCGTACAAGGCAGATACTTTACGGGTCGCTGCTTGAGGCAAATAGTTTAGTCCCAGAATATCTGTAATACAGTCACTGATTTGTGGTATGTATAGTTGGACACAACGTGTAAATCTAGCTACACAGAAAAGAACTGATCTGGCCAGACTCCACCATTTTATTTCAGGGGTTATTAAATAGTTTTAGCCGGAAAAAATTACATTTTCGGCAATTTATGCAAACAAGTGAAACCTATCCCAACACTCGACATTATTTTTAAAAAAGTTTGAACCCCCTTGTGACAAAAATTACCATTCACATATTATTTAGTGACCACCCATTGTAAAGGCATCCCCCTATGCTATGAATAACACATCCAAGGACAGATGAGGTCATTCTTTATGCAAATGAATACGGTCAGATTACTGGCAACTGTTATCATGTAAAACCATAAACACTCAAGTGGAATAAGTAATCACAAAAACACCACCACCACTTATTATTTTTATTTATTTAAATTGGGAGACAAATATTCACCGAATATTCAGAAAATTGAAGGAAAAGTGTTACATGAGATGGTGACATGTCATTACCACATGTCATGCAAACTTTTGGAAAGACACAAGTACAGAGCCCACAAAACATGAATATTTTAACTTGTATTCTTAACATTACGAATTAATACTAATAACACGTGTCAACAAAACTAGAATGGAAGCTTATTCTTTAGCATTTATACGACGATTTAAAAAAAAATACATATATATATGAGATTAGATTGTGCTCATATCATCTATTGGTAAAATCACAAACGTAGACCAAAAAATGAGTGACAATTAACTCAAACTGGTATATCCATCAAAAAGCACTAAATCATGAGTTTTGATAATGAAATGAAGAGAAACATTGAAAATATCAGCGCCATATTTTTTTAATCACAATTATTATTCGCGTAGCAAACAACATTCGCAGTTGAAACAAAGTTTAATCCCTATATTATATAAAAGACTAAACAGGAACAGCTGGTGGAGGGATTTCACTTTTGTGGTTTATTTTTTTGTATTTGTTGACACTAGAGGGCGCTAAACTAAGCAATAACTTCCAAACGTATTACATTGGCAGTACGACTGTAGAAAATGTGCCTGTAAATGATGATATATTGCACTTGTTTTAACAGAACAAAGTACATACATTAACGCCTGTTGACAAAGATTAGATTGTTGTACTATAAATACAAATAAAAAAATGATGGTAAATTAGTTTTCAAAAATCTTTTTTATATACAAAATTGTTCTTTTTATATAATGATTTTTGATGATTAAGCTTTGTGTTTGTATACAAATGTTCTATATGTCAACAACAAAAATAATTTCTAATAGAGATCAAGAACATGTAAATGGAACTTTAATTACTATGTTTTAACATCAATTACTCAAGGCTCAAGTAAAAATTAAAAAGTAATTCTGTCTCATGACCTCCTGTACTGCATATCTAGTGATGGAATTTCACAGCACTTTATTATCTATACAAGTTCATTGTCTGGTAAATTACACTATACCACCCACAGAGGTACATCAAATAATCACTAATAATTTGGTGATGTTGCTTCAAAAGTTGTGTGAGGTTAATGAAATAAAGGTTCAAAGGTTTATTTTAATTACATTAATGTGTGTACAGATTTTTAATTAAACTTATTTATGTAATATTTTGTATACATTAATGAAATGGTAGTAACATTAATCATAAAGATAAAAGATCTGTCTTTTACCTCCATGCATTAATCCATTTGCATAGTATTTGGTTATAATAATTGGTTTGCAAATGTTAATTTATTTACAGTATTTTCATAAATGACTTATAGTATAAACTACTGCAGTGTTGTACATCTTTTTCACATTTTTGTTTTACACTTAAACTCACCAACACTTATTCATACTCTATTCATATTCATACTGTATCTATTTTGCAATAAATAAATTGTACTCACAGCCAATACAAGCAAGTAGATTAAAAAAAAAAATTGAGGTCACCAGCATATTTTTTGAGAAAATTATGATTATATTTTTAAATAGTAACCATTTTGACAGTATTAGAACACTTTTAACATTGATTCCTATGGTGGTGATATTATCCGATATAAGAAAAAATTATATACTGTGAATGATTGATAGTCCACTTTCTGTTATCCTGAATTACCGGTATATTTCAAAAGTCTGGGTTTTAAAAATTGATGAAAAAATCTGTTTTGCAAAACATTTCTTTCAATGCAACTCTAATAATCACCAAATAATCCTAAAATACAGAACTGTAGCACAACAGAATGCTGTTTCATGTTAAAATAAATAAATAAAAAATAAATATCTCATGTGATATGTGATTAACTTCCTTAAAAATCTAGCCTGCTTGAATATTCAACACATGTTGCGAACACCTAATTTTGAATATAAAATATTCAAACCAGCACCTAATTTTGAATATGACTTAGTCAAACCAGCACCTAATTTTGAATATAAAATAGTTAAACCAGCACCTAATTTTGAATATAAAATAGTCAAACCAGCACCTAATTTTGAATATAAAATACCCAAACCAGCAGCTAATTTTGAATATAAAATACTCAAACCAGCACCTAATTTTGAATATAAAATAGTCAAACCAGCACCTAACTTTGAATATAAAAAAGTCAAACCAGCACTTAACTTTGAATATAAAATAGTCAAACCAGCACCTAATTTTGAATATAAAATAGTCAAACCAGCACCTAACTTTGAATATAAAATAGTCAAACCAGCACCTTACTTTGAATATAAAATAGTCAAACCAGCACCTAACTTTGAATATAAAATAGTCAAACCAGCACCTAATTTTGAATATAAAATAGTCAAACCAGCACCTAATTTTGAATATAAAATAGTCAAACCAGCACCTAACTTTGAATATAAAATAGTCAAACCAGCACCTAATTTTGAATATAAAATAGTCAAACCAGCACCTAATTTTGAATATGAAATGAGTCAAACCAGCACCTAATTTTGAATATGAAATGAGTCAAACCAGCACCTAATTTTGAATATAAAATAGTCAAACCAGCACCTAACTTTGAATATAAACAAGACATGAAATGTCACAGTCCCCGTTATTTGATTATAAAGTAGTACAAGGAACATCTGCAAACAGGTGAATGAA